GGCATTTAGCTTTAAGGTATTTAATGTGTGGTAAAAAAGTTAAATGGCTATCGAAAATAAGTCCCAAGAACTTGGCCTCCTTAACAACTTTGATAGGAGTGCCATTCAGAAACAGTTCAGGGTCCTTATGTGGCTTATATTTTCTGCAAAAATGAATACAATTAGTTTTTGATTTGGAAAATTTAAAACCGTTTTCTAGACACCACTTGTGAATTTTATTAAGACATAATTGTAATTGCCTTTCTATTGTGTGCATATTTTTACCACGACAAGATAGATTAAAATCATCCACAAAAAGGGATCCATCAACTGAATCATTTAAAACTTTGGACAAACTGTTAATTTTTATACTGAATAAAGTGACAGACAAAATACTGCCTTGTGGGACACCCTGATCCTGATTATAATGATCAGACAGGGTTGTACCCACTCGGACTTGAAATTGCCTGTCTGTTAAAAACTGTGATATAAAATGAGGCAGACGGCCTCTTAATCCAAAATCATGAAGATCTTTTAAAATACCATGTTTCCATGTTGTATCGTAAGCTTTTTCTAAATCGAAAAAGATCGATACAGCATGTTGTCTATTTACAATGGCATTTTTAATGAACGATTCTAAACGCACTAAATGATCGATAGTACTTCTATTTTTCCGGAAACCACATTGTATATTGGAAAGAAGATTATTTGTTTCCAAGTACCACACTAATCGATTATTTACCATGCGTTCCATCGTTTTACAAACACAGCTAGTTAAAGAGATAGGTCTGTAATTTGATGGATCAGAATGATCCCGCCCAGGTTTGGGAATGGGGATAACAATGGCTTTATGCCATGAAGCTGGAAACATCCCAGATGTCCAAATATCATCGAATATATTTAACATAGTTTTAAGGCATGATTCGGGCAAGTGTTTCAGCAGCTGATAATGAATATTATCAGCGCCTGCTGCTGTATCATGAGCTTGCCCTAAGGCAGTATATAGCTCATGTAGTGAAAATACCTCATTGTAATCTTCACCATTATCAGATGTAAAATTTACTTTTTTCTATTCCTGTTGAAGCTGATATTTTTTAAATTCAGGAGCGTAATTAGATGAAGAAGAATGATGAGATAAAGTTTCACCAATGCTATTGGCAATGGCAGATTTATCAGTTAACAAAGTATCGCCATCCTTCAGATGGTTAACTGTAGAATTTGAACCCTTGCCTTTGATCTTTTTAATCATGTTCCATACCTTGGACATAGGGGTACGAGAGTTAATTTTGGAGACATAAGTCCGCCAGGATTGACGTTTATTTTGCTTAAATAGACGTCTTGCCTTAGCATTTGAAATTTTGACAGTGTTTAAATTATGGACAGTAGGATGTTTACGGAAGTATTTCTCCGCCTTCTTACGACATTTCCTAGCTTGTTTGCACGTGTCATCAAACCATGGTTTACGAACACGTGGGTTGATAGAGAACTTAGGTATTGATTCATCAGCAATTTCATTCAGTTGATCTGAGAACAACTGAATGGGGTCAATAACATTCTGAAAAGACGTAGGTTGTAATTTATCTTTGCATAAAGATTGAAATAAAAGCCAATCAGCCTTCACAAAATTCCATCGAGGTGAAGGTGGATCATCAACGGGATGAATGGGTTTAAGCACGGTGGGGAAATGGTCACTCCCACATAGGTCATCATGGACGGACCATGAGAATTCATTCAACAAAACTGAATCCGTCAAAGACAGATCTAATGATGAATACGTACCAGTTGCAGGGTGTAAGTAGGTGTCCGAGTCATCGTTAAAGATGCAGAGGTCATTATCAGAAACAAAATCCTCGATGACTTTACCCTTTGGATTAATGATAGAACCTCCCCATAAAGGATTATGCCCATTTAGATCACCCATGATGACACAGGGCTTTGGGAGCTGGTCGTACAGTTTTTGGAGATCATTACGCTGAAGATTTGAAGATGGAGGAATGTATAAGGAGCAAAGTGTGAAGGCAATATGCAGTGTAAGTCTAACTGCAACAGCTTGCATATTTGTGTCAAGCGGAACAGGACTGTGAACAACGCCCCGCCGCACCAAAATAGAAGCTCCTCCAGTAGCTTTATCTCCCGGAGGAGAGAAGGAATGATACGAACTATACTGCCTTAAATCAAATTTGTCGGTTGTTTTAAGGTACGTTTCTTGTAAAGAAATTGCTGATGGACAAATATCCGTTGATAATAATTGCAGTTCGTTAAAATTGTGCCTAAGTCCTCGGCAATTCCATTGAATTAGTTTCGAATGATTCATGGTGGTTCTACCGGAGATCGTTCACGTAAACGTGAAGAGGAGTCACCACTGCTGTGGTGTGAAGATGGGGTGACATCCATCTCAAGAGGCTCAAAGTAATTGTGAACATCTACAGATGTTTCAGTGAGAGTAGGGATCTTAGTAGAAATTTTCTTGTTTTGTTTCTTCTTTTGTTTTTTGGGCATTTCAGTTGATGGTTTGTTGGTAGCTGGTATATCAGGAGTGGGTGTAGATGGGGCCACAACCTGAGTCACAATGATAGAATCTGGAGACATTTCACCTGGGCTGACAGAATGAGTTGTTTGACTGTCACATGATGTAGTCAGAGGCAGCGGGTGTTCAGAATGTGTCCACGTCAAGTCCGTCTGACATTCTATAGATCTACGTGTTGAAGGGCGAGAGACAGCAGCAGCAGCAGCAGCAGCAGCAGCAGCAGCAGCAGCATCAGCATAAGATTGTTTGGATGAAGGTGTCCGGCTATCAAAGAGTTTTTTGGCATCAAAGTAACTGATGTTGTTTTGACATTTGATTGTCAAAATGTCTTTTTCACGTGTCCAAAAAGGACAGGATTTAGATGATGCTACATGTTCACCCTTACAATTTGTACATTTCAGGTCTGCTGTACAGCCTGTACCATCATGATTTCCACCACAACGGTGGCAAACAGTTGGACGATCACATGATTTGGAGCCGTGCCCAAACTTCTGACATTTGTAACATCGGAGCGGATTGGGGACATACACCTCCACTCCGATGTTAAAATAGCCCGCCTTAATAGATTGTGGAATTGTGGAAAGAGAAAAGGAGAACAAATAAGTATTTGTTGGAACGAATTTTTCACCATCTTTTCTATTGAAACGTTTCACTGATGTGACATTCTGTGATTTAAGTTCTTCCAAAATGTCATCTTCTGACATTTCAGCCAGGCAACGAGCTCTGTCGCGGATGATCCCTCGACTCGAATTCAACGTTCTGTGTTCAGAAACAACAACTTCTGTGTTAGCAAAGCTAGTACATTTTAAAAGATTAATAGCCTGCTGTCTCCGTGCACACTCCACCAAAAGAGAGCCGCTCCGGAGCCGTGAAACATTCTTCACCTCACCACAGATACCTTCAATGGCTTTAGATATTGCAAAGGGATTGATTTTCAAAGGTAGTTGATTATGTGATTCCACTACGATAAACCGAGCCCAAGAATTTGAAGTTCGTGAAATAGAAGCATCGTCGTCAGATGAGAAAATCTCAGCTTCCAGACGTCTCTTCTTGTCAGTGCGGTTTGAACCAGAATGATTGTGTGCCATAATGAAAGTAATTGATTCAGCACCCCTGCTCCCCACCCACCATGGAGTGCTACAAAGAGCGATGTTTTCCTGCACCGGATCTCCAACATGCAAACATCAGGGATACAGAGGTGGTATACTCCAGTAAAAACAACATGAATAGCTGCATTTGTCGAACAAATAAAATGCCAGGCTGGTCCGGCCCATGACAAGAAATTGAAGACATACAGAACTCAGAGGTCGAAAGTACCAGATTGGCCCATGAGCCACCGCCTTCTGGCGTAAGACTCTAGGCAATGTATTCAATCCAAAAGTTAGAATACACACAAGTTATGGACGGCCAAGGCCAAAATATACAGTAAAATACAACACACGTGTGCATATACAATATTACGCACAGGGCCTGGCATGACCAGCCGATTGATAAGACCGGGCCCATCTTACCACCCGTCTAGGCGAAGTAAGGGTCGAAGTAGTGTGTTGGGCAAAGGAACACAGTTCCAGGAACCAGTGCCCTCAACTACCAGACTCCCGTCCTCCGCCGACACAGGGACGCAACCCACGGCAAACGGGCTGCCCACTTTGGTCGCCTCTTACGACCAGCAATGGGGTGCTGTGGAAATATTCTACCCCGGTTCCACACGGGGGAAGAGCTATTAGCGCTACCCAGCACTCACCACGAGGAGGTTGCTCTTCACGAGTGCCCGGAGAGCGGAAGGTCGGGGGTTCGATCCCCAGCTGGATCAGACCAAAAGACGTTAAAATATTGTACTTGTTTTTATGATGCCTGGCGCTCGGCATTTAGGGTCTAAAACAAGATCTGATCAGCTTGTAGTCAGTATACTGGTTCTGAGTAGGGTATTCATGCTGAACTGCAACACGGTATGCCTCAGTAGGCAAACACTATAAAATCGGCATGAGTCCGGGCGCGCACGCACGCACGCACGCACGCACGTACGCACGCACGCACCCACACACATACACACAACACAACACATTTGCATACACGTCGCTATATAAATGCAACAATCTTGAACGCGTTTAAACCCATTTCCTCTCACCTGTAATGCATTAAAAAAATGCAGTTCAAGACAACCACATGCATAATAATATGTAATATTAACCTTTTTTTCTAACATGTATATACAAATACTTGAACGATTTCGGCACTATACGTAATACAGCTGTTTTTGTACAGCTCTTAAAACATGAAACGTCAACAACCTGCCAGGGATTGCTTCACCTTGACATGCATTTCAATTCGATATTACATTATAATTTACATGACACATATTTCAGCTTTCTCTCAAGTGGCGTTTGAGATGATCGAATATTACTGTTAGTGGGACAACAACCGTTCCCCGAGGGGCAACGTGGGTTTATTAGTTTGTTGTGTGTGCATAATTAGCATGGAATTTCTCTACATGCTATATAACATCGCCCACGCTGTCAGTGGTCAGTACCAAGTTAAGATACGGCAACACATGTGAGTATATAATGTTTTAATTCTTAAAGCAAATAATGCATCTAAAAATGTTCATTAATTATTTGTTTTGCTTTTTATATTGGTTTTATTTCACTTAGACATTTGTTCAACATGCATATTATACTAGGTGAGGGATTAATGTCGCCTATATAGCGTCGTGCATGCACGTGTGTGTGTGTGTGTGTGTGTACTAGTCCGGTCTAATGCCCGTTTTATAGTGCTATACCACTGAGATACCACGCTGTGGTTTGACATGAATATCCCAATCAGACCCAGTATGCGGACTCCAAGCCGACCAGTCCCCCTTTAGCCCCTTAATGCCGGGCATAAGGCAGGGTAACAATACGTACCATAGCTTAAAGTCGGGTGTGCACACATTGAAGGATTTATAGTGTACAAACCGGTATTTATATTGATACTTTTATAAACACAAAAATTAATTAAATTAATTCTTAAGTATTCGCAAAATTATGGGGGTGGGTGGTTTGTGGTGGCACGGGTAGCCGAGTCGTCTGCACGCCCAAACTTTATGATTCTGGGTTCGAATCCCGGTCCTCTCCGATTATGCTTCAAAGTTTGTCAGCACCATACACGTTATCGTTGGTTTCACCAAAGAGGTAAACTTCACTATGGGCTTTCCTCCCACATTGAGCTGACATGCCGTGATATAACTGGAATACTGTTAAAACACGACGTTAAACCCAATTACTCACTCCAAAATTACGTCCTTTAGTACTTAGTCATGCTGTCCGTATTCATGTATATTTCCTGTATCTATTTTAAGAAAAATGCTTGAGAAAATCATCGTCTTCCTACTGATAGCTGTTGCTATGGTGACAGCGTTCTATCAACCGTACTACAACCCATACGCATACACTGGATATGGCTATGGATATGGCTATGGAAATGACTGGGGCGATCAGTATTATCCATACTATCAACAACAGTTCAACTATTACAACCCCTTTTGGTATTATTCCGACTGAGACTGATCAAGGGCCAGCTTCAACCCCGACTATCAATGCTGAACAAGGTACCTATCATCTTGAATGGGATTGTTGGTGATGTCTGTTTTAACATATACTACTCAACACTAATGAGGGATATTTATATCATTCCTTGATGCACAAAACTGATTCTGATGTCGAACATATATTTAAAAAGATTTACATATCTGATTGTCAAAATGTGAGTAGAATATTATCCATGTCTGCCCGAAGAAGCCTCGTTTATATTGTCTTCAAATATTTACCCTGCATACAGAGATCGGGTGCCGGGTGAGAATAGATGCCCAACATTTAAATGTTTTGTTTGTTTGTTGTTTGACTCCGCACTCAGCAATATACCAGCAACATGACGGCGGTCTGTAAATAATCGAGGCTGGACCAGACAATCCAGTGATTGACCTATGGTGGTTTGTTGGAATAAAACATTGATTGATTGATTGTGAGCATCAATCCACGCAATTGGGATACGATGACATGCATCAGCAATCATGTCAGCAAGCCTGACCTCTTGATCCCTTTAGTCGCCTCTAATTACGACAAGCATAGTCGCCTTTTACAGCAAGCATCATGGGTTGCTGAAGACCAATTCTAACCCGGGTCTTTACGGGTCCATTTAAATGTTGTACCATGGGACGTCTTAGTGGGATCGGCTGGTGATGATCAAACTCTGTGATTTAGTGATTTAGTTTGTTTGTTGTTTAACGCCGCACTCAGCAATATTCCAGCGACATGGCGGCGGTCTGTAAATAATCGAATCTGGACCAGACAATCCAGTGATATATATCATGAGAATCCATCCACGCAACTGGGATACGATTACATGCATCAACCAAGTCAGCGAGCCTGACCAACAGATCTCGTTAGTCGCCTTTTATGACAAGCATAGTCGCCTTTTACAGCAAGCACATGTTGCTGAGGACCTATTCGTGACTTCGTGCCCCGAAGGATTATTACCACGTATTATTATTATTATCAACCACTTTTTTCTAGACCAGTCTTGATTATTTACAGGCCGCCTTTGTTTACCAACATTCACTCACTAACTCCTTATTAGAGGTCGTTAGATTTGTAAATACTTACTTCAGGTAATTCATTATTGCCCTGAATGAAGCGAACATTTTTTGCTAAAGTTTATATATGCATTGAACCTGCTTCATTTCTCTATCAGTAAAACTCGTTAATCCATGGCCAGACACGCCTTTAACGTCTGTAAGTAAAAGACATTACAACCATAATTCTTAATCAGGACGATTTCATCGGGAACGGTATCGTCCAGGTCAACGTTGTTTAAATGTATTACTTTAATACGTTTGTGGCGTCATAAGAATTTTTTAATTAAATAAATATCTCTGAAACTTCCTTCTTCACTTTATGCAACAAAAATAATGCTGTTATAATAACTTATGACCTAAACATTTTATCCTTTTGTTTTAGAGTTCTCAGCAACGCTATTACAGACTACGAGTATTCAGCTCAAGCATCGACCTACAGGTGTGGCTGAACTCCGAGGTGTGATGTCATTATTCTGTCGCACTGATTTTAATAAATATTTCATACTTTCTTAAAACATCTGGTGTGTGTAATTATTTTGCACAGCTGCAACCCTGTCATTAATTATCGGTTGCTTCACGGCATGGACGGTCTTTGGATGTACACGAACATTCTGCTCTAAAATCCCGTACACTCGGGAAGTCACACAAAAACGAATTATCATCAGGTGGTACATATAGAGCATCTCACCCGAGTGTCTTTTGATATCAAATATATCAACACGAGTTGATTAAAGTGGAAAAAAAACCGAGGCTTGATGTCAAATGACACGAGGGTGAGATTTTATTTATCATCTAACATCATTCTTCTAACGTTTTCACATTGTAGACAGTATTAAGTGTAAAAAGGTCTGCTGACAGTTTCAGTAGCAGAGCCATAAGCGATGTCATTTGATTGTGACGTCTGCAGGCCATTGTGATGCAATTTAATTGCTTGATCTCATCCATGTTTTGGATAATAAATTGAGATATGTCTGTGTTATAATATCAGATCGGTCTTTCCACACATTTGTACAGGGCCCACTTGCACAAAGTGATCTTAGCGCTAAGAAGATCGTAACTCCCATAGGCTTACAATAGTCCTAGCGCTAAGATCGCTTTGTGCAAGTCGGCCCAGGTCATTTATGACGTGACAGTGAGATGACGTCATATGAAACACGTCATGATGTCCGTTTAGGACCGCCGACCGACGTGTATGGCATAGTTGTACAAGACGGCGACTAGCCAATTAGAGAGGTGGAGTTTAATACGAGAAATGACAACATAGTTATGTACAAAAATGTGTATGTATTATGTAAGCTATACCGTTGCTGAAGTTCACTTACATCAAACCTGCATTATGTTGCTGGAGTGTTGCTAAACGAAGCGTAAAACCGGAAAATCTCACTCACTCATCTATACACTCACCCACCATCATATCAAGGATGGTGAGAATCAAGGGTTTTCAATTATTCCTAAAATCATCCACTCACTTACTCACTCACTCCCGACAAATTAAATCATGTTTGCATCAGGTGCTTGTGATATTGACACTTTCGACATTTCCGTATATCCGTGTACCATTAATTGCAATACGTTGTACTGACAGAGGTCTGTTCCCTGTGACAATATACACAACAGAATCATAAACAATGCCAACCTGGGATTCAAACCAATGTCATAGGACAAGGCTGACACACACCTTGATCAGCGACCTTATCTGGAACCAATCAGTTCCGGCAAATCAAGTCATATTCGGATCAAGGGCCTGCATAACAGTAATCCTGATAATATTGATATTCCAGGATCATATCAAATAGACCATACCCGTGTACCTTCGATTTCAATACGTTATAAAAAATGACAGCAAGTTTGTCTAACAAGTGTACCATCTTCTAAAATCAGTTTAGTTATTCACGCAGTAGTTTCCTTATTGAGTGTATGTCTATCAAATTGAAAATATAAGGTAGTCTAACCTTGCAGTTGTTTAGGTGCTAAGTTCTGTCCAGTATCTGGAATCTAAACAGCACCGACAACGACAGTCAGTCTTCTCGTCTTTCCGTCAATCTTTTAGCAATAACACTATCAAAACAAAGTTTGTGTTTAGTTATTGGAAAAATCATATAGCTAAAGACGAACCCGTTGCTATCTTCAAGCTGCTCAATATCATAGGAAAGATCACCAGGAATCTGTAGCATCGAACTCTGGTCTTTTGGGAGACCAGGGAACGCTGCTTTAAACAAAATTCTTAATGCCCCTTTGTAGTTCTGGAGTGAGTGAGTGAGTGAGTGAGTATGGTTTTACGCCGCTTTTAGCAATATTCCAGAAATATCACGGCGGGGGACACCAGAAATGGGCTTCACACATTGTACCCATGTCGGGAATCGAACCCGGGTCTTCGGCATGACCACTAGGCTACCCGACCGCCCCTTGTAGTTCTGGAACCAATATCATTGTGCTAACATTGTTGGGATATTTTGTTGGTGTGATCACGGTGTTATACAGTTGTGACAACGTTGCATGTGCGACGTGGTTGTTTCTTTCTTATAACAAAAGTGTATTCTTCCAACTGATCATGTGACCATGAAATAACGTTACGCACAAACAGAGGCCTAAAAGGCGATAACTACTGATATGATTTTGTTCCCAGACACAATTCCATGGTGTTTAAAACAAGCTGGACTAGTGAACGAATTAAAAAGCCAATAATTTGTAACATTTAGATGTTTTTTAAACAAATAATTAGTCTTTGGGTTGAAATGATCGACTCCCGCTCCCAAACCCGTGGGATATTAAATGGCCGACCCGTGTCATAATTATAAAACTTCCGCCAGATTGAAAACTACAGCTTCTATATAAACTGCCGTGGAAGAGAAAGCATACACCAATGTATGATGATGACTAAAAATGAAACAACGGTTGTTCGATGGTGAGGTAATTATTTAATAGGGGTATGTGTTGTGGACCCTCAGTTTGCAGTATTTCGGTGTAATGTAACGTTTGTAATTGTTTGGTCAAATCCAGTTTTTAAGTGTATACTTTCTTTTGCGCGGTACTTTCTTGATCTTCTTAACATCGCAATCTGGATAAATGTCATAGCAATTCAACGTTATAAAATGCTTTACTATATGTAATCAGTGTTCATCCGTGAATTTAAGTGCTTAGAAAACGGATTCTCACTTGCAATTCCGATGTCTTGTACTATTTCATTTGATCTGACTGCTCGCGAAGACATACATGTATGAAACACGAGGTTGATAGCGCGAAGAACGATTCACGCCGTGGCTGCATTAAGGCGTATAGGTCAGGTCATGTCACGGTAAAACCATGTACATACACGGCACTGATTGTGCCTCGGTCTCTACAGTAAGCACTTACACTGCTTTTTTCGTTGCTTAACACGTGTTGTTTTTTTGTTTTTGTTTTTTTAAAAACCCGCTAAAAACTGCATCGTTGAAAGAAAAAACATTATACATAACTATGAAGTCTTTGTCGAACTCTCGGGAGGTACGGGGTTAGGGAGGGGTATAGGTCACCCCAGCAGAGTTTCGTTCCTTAGGAGTGCCAGAATCCCTGATTGGCTTGAATCCAAAATTCGCCTCACTCACTCACTCACTCACTCACTCACTCACTCACTCACTCACCCATCCACTCACTCACTCACTCTCACTCACTCCATATTAGTTACCAACATTTGTAAGCTCCGAAGAAGCGGACATGTGATATTCACTTACATCAAATACTCATATACACCAATACTCATAAAGCGCATCTGTTTATTCGTTTGGTCATTTGCGTTGTTGCCATAAATATCCCTAGCCATGCAAGATGACCTGTGGTTTGCCGTACTGAGCGCTGAAAAGCTGTCAGGGACAAAAATACGTCTTTGGGCCTAACTGGTCATCTTGACGAATGTACCCACGGTCCACACGTAAAGGCAGTAATAAATCAATCAATGTCCAGTCAGTAGATTGATACTGTACCGTGTGTTCCTGTGTTATGTTCGGTGAACAATTTACTTGCCTTTGCATGTGTGTGTGACGGGTGCCACCGTTGGGTCAGGATACGCTCACCTTTTCCCGAACACTTGGTGTCATCACTTTTTGATAGTGATTCCAAAACACATGGTCATCATATAGTCGGAATCGTACAATGGACTTCTTATTTGGATTTCTTATGATTATGGAAAGTGTTGTATCGCTTTGTTTTCACAAACGAAAGCGACTTTCAGTGCAGGGCATGTCAAGCTGTCACCAGTTTATTTAAAGAGGTATATCATAGCATTGCGTAGGAACGAAAATGCACGTGCTGTGAAAAACGTAAGATATATAGGTGTAATGAAAATGCATGTGATGTGAAAAATGTAAGATAGATCATATCCGCGTGCCATCGGTGTCAATACGTTTTACTGACAGAGGTCTGTGCCCTGTGATATACACACAACACAGTATAGCTATGGAGGACACCATCGTCCACAGACAAAAGACAATACTCTTAATCTGACAATACTATCTATCATCCACGATGAAACCTGAAGGGAAAAATTTGGAAGGTGAGGGTGAGCAATAAATAGCAGTAAATAGACATTCTTCAGACAAATAACCATTCATCATCCTGTTCAGCTCAGAACTGAGAGCCACACTTATCTTCGCCAAGTATGAATTGGGCATGACAAATCCAATATCAGGTAAAAAGGATACACTGAGTGTAATGCTTCTGGGATTCTGAAGCAATGTCGTTGAGTGCCTGGTAGACCAAAAATGGCATTGGCTGTAATAGTGTCCGCAAAATGCCTCCCTTGGGATTACAAGTCAGTAGATGATATAAAATCAACTCAGTTGATTATTTTGCTTATGTATTAACAAATAGTTTAATGGAAATATCCGTATAGAATCACTACATGGTAATGAACAAATATCCGACAAATGTTTGAAATAAATTTAATTTACACGCATCAGGGAAAAAAATTAAAACGGATTTTTGTCTCTTTTCTTGTTAAAAAACATGTATATTTCATCCCGTGATCTGTGCCGTTCAGGAAAATATCCACTTTGTCAGATCACTCGATGAAATAAACATGTTATATGACACGAAAAGGGGAATATATCCTATGTGACGCGGGAGAGCTGTTTTACTCCTTTTAAACAATATTCAAGCAATATTTCAGTGACTTTCACGGGGAATGATCTCGTAAATCGAAACTGCGACTTTTGCGAAACGAGAGAACTCCTTTGTTGTTGCAGAAACTCAAGACCATTGTGCTGAAAATGCAATAGCGTTTCATAGTACTGACACCGTTGGAGGTGCTGTTCCTTTACTTCACGTGACTGTGAAATAACGACAACTGCAAACAGAATATCAAAGGCTATAACTCATAAAGCCATGGCATTGAACAAAATCATTTGGTCAATAAATAAATGAGTGGTTTTGCATATAAATAGAAATTTCTGCTCGCGTTGGCAAAAATGAAAACAAGGGAATTTGGCCAAGGAGTTTAACTTAAGCTTCAGGTATGTCGATGATCTCATATAATTCAATA